GCCAACCTGCCAGGCTCTGATAGAGCCAGTTTTACAGAAGGGACACACTGGTATGAGTAGGTTTTTTCACCTGGATATCAAATATGCACCATTCATATTTATATATTTAATATATCAGATCTTTTTTCAGTAAACAGTAATTGCATTTTTTTGTTTAGGAAGCGCCCAGGCAGAATTACTCTGTAAACTAGTAGTGAACTGCCTTGAGCCACATCACAGGCTTCTTGTATTCCGGTCAGTCTGAATATCACAATTAAGCTTTAAGAAAGAAATGGGTCTTAGTCATTTATGGAATAAATTGTGCTCGAGTAATTTGACACGGTTTAGCTGATAATAGAAATGTGCTTGCAAATCTTAGAGCAATACTTGGAGTGTCCTGGGATGAGGGAGTGTTATCAATCATCCATGCATTGCTGGATTCAAAGGTACTTCAGAAAGCTCTTTCCAATCTTAAAGGATCTTTTAGTCTCATGTTAATGGTTTCTTTTGTTATGCTTTCAGCTTGAGCTGAGTGAGAAGGATTTCTCTCTCTTCACCGATCAGCTTTGCAGCCAGTCTCCACATTTCAGCAAATCTATGAAGTTTGCCAAGATGTTGCTGAGTGTCTTGACTAAGTATCAGTCACATGTGAGTATAACTGTAATGACTGGAAATAACTCATTCAGATAGTTTAAAAAAAAACGCCTCAACAAAACCTTATATTAAGTAGAATTTTATGGTCCTCAGAGCATCTTTAGTTCTACAAAACCCAATTTGCAATTTACAGAGGCATATGATAGTAACCAATAAACAGATTAATAAATATCTAGATGTTAAAATGTTTTTTATATACATAAACATAAAACTGCTGATTAATTAGTATTTTTCTTTTTTTACATTTCAGGTGAATCCTGCACGCCACCACACACTTTCCAGTTGCCTATCTTTCAATGAAACCTTCCTCAAGAAATCATTGCAGGCTGCATTAAAAGGATTTCCCTGTGAATCATATTATGCCCATTTTAAATGGCACTTTAGTATATGAGTTTCATTCAATCTGATTGTATTATTTTGTGAATATATTTTGTAAATGTAATAATAATTCCTTTGTACTGTATAGTTGTATTGAGATAAAAAATATAAATTGAGTTGAATTACACTTCATATCAATATTTATTAAGCTTAATTTTTTCAATTAAACGGTCTGAATTCATATTATTTAAATGTAATGTCCTGGACACATTTGAATGCGTTAAGGTGAATTATTGTATTATTTTATATTACTTATTGTATATGTGTGTGTGTATATATATATATAATGTAATTATGCATGGCGCACACACTTTTTTTGACACATTAAAAACAATAGTTTGTGAAATGTAA